CTACAAGCTGGAATTTTATTTGCTCGATTGTCATTGTAAAATAGTAGATCAACTATAGTTTCACATGGCTTAAGATACCAGGTGTACTCCTGAGATGCAACATATTCTTGGGCAATTTGTCTACAGTGTTATGTTTTACCAATAGCTAATTCTCACATCCAGACGGGATAGTAATCTATACCATTAAGGGCATGGAAAACACACCAAGTCAAGTGTTGTCACTCAGATGGGGACAAATTCCCCAATTGCTCAACTTTCAATGGAACAATTAAAGTGAAAAGAAACACAGAATTCAGGGAAGGGGTGAAAAAGAGTCACTTCGAACTTGTGCCTTATATCAGCCGATTCATAAGATAATAGCCAAAGTATTGAGGTGATCTGTCTTTACTGACCCACACTGAAAACAGTGTATATTCTTTGAATATTCAATGAGAAAAACATCTAACCTGAAGTTGAAGATAGTATATAACTTGAAATTAATTTCTTATTACCTAATGTATTAAAATTAAAAGTAGCACAAAAAATAAATTGTTTAATAGTTCCATGATGTAGCGATGACAACACAAAATTGTACCAGCAATCTGAAGCAATGGGCCATATCATCCAATGTCAATATACAAGCAAATGTTAAGACATTTGTAGCCTGTGCACATCAAGTCTTTTCTAAGTCTCAATCCACCCTATTGTATTGTAATTGCCACAGAGTTGACAACTTGGCCTCTCCAAGAACTTCTCTGATTGGAGAGAAGTGGAAGCAGGTACAAATATCCATTCCAGTATGCCACAGTGATGAGATCACTACCATGAGGCATATACCATATTGGCAAGCATTTTAAGTTTTACTGCAATCAAGTCCTCATATTGAACACAGTGCTGCCTTGTACACTTGAAACATGATGGCAGAAGTCATGGGTGTCCAGAATTGAAATGAAAAACACAGGTGCAGAGCTGTGAGACTCTAAAATTCTTGAAAAAGAAAAAAATTTTTTTTAAAAATCAGTGGATAAAAACTGTACGATACTGTGGATGCTGGAAATGTGAAGACAAACAGAATGCTGGAGATAACCAATGGGTCTAGCAACATCTGTGGAGAAAGAAAGAGTTAATGTTTCAAGTCTGGTAGGACTCTTCTTCACTGCTTGAGAGAAAATGGCTGCAGCTTTTTCCCTGACCAGCTCCTGTTCAAGTAACTGGATCTAGATCGTAGGCAGATCATTGGCAGGAAGCAAATGCCATTCACTAGGAGCAAAACTAAAGCTTAGATTGGTAGCACTCATCATCCCACAGCACACTAAATCATTGACTGTGGAATGTATCACAGATGTTTTCAAAGAGCAAGGATGTCTTCTGGGATAATATCATCTCAACATAGATAAGAATACAAGACCAATCCAGCATCTGCTTAGCAAAGTTCCAGCTGTCTTTAAGCCATCCTGAAAGACAAGATGGAAGAACTGGAAAAGAAGACACTAGTCAAAAAGTGACACCGCTTATAGAATGGATTAGCAACATGGTAACAGCAAAACAACCTGGGAAGCTGAAGAGTATGTCTTGACTCAAAGAACCTTAATAAAACCCTGTAGCGATCTTAAAACCCATGCCAACTATTGAAGGAATTTTGCCACAACTTACAATCAAAAACCTTCAGAACCCTAGGTGTGAAAGACAGTTATGGACATGTGAAGTGAGATGAAAGAAGCAGTTAACTTAAAACATTCTGGCTGCCCTTGAGGAAACACAAATGGTTACACATGCGGTTTTGCACTTCTAATGCTCCAGAATAGTATCAACACAAATAACATGAGATAGTTCATAAACCTCTTATGGATTCAGAGACACAACAGACGCAGTCATTGCTGACCATGATCAAAATAACATACAGGTAGTTCTTCTATAACACAATAATTGCGTTCTTGTGTGAAATTGTGCTGTAGAAAATCACGCTATAGAAAATCACTATACTATACAGCAGAAAGTTCACCTTTTCCAAACAACATCCACTATTCATCAATCGCATTACAGCTAATTCACGTTAACAACACAGCATTATAGCAGAAATATCTGTAACTGCCAAAAAGAGCTCGCCAGATGAATTTGAAATTGAGCAAGAAAATGTTACAATTAAAGATTGTAATTGTAGGGGCAGGATGGTGGCTCAGTGGTTAGCACTGCTGCCTCACAGCACCAAGGACCTGGGTTCAATTCCAGCCTCAGGCAACTGTCCGTGTGGAGTTTGCATATTCTCCTTGTGTCTGCATGGATTTCCTCTGGGTGCGCCGGTTTCCTCCCACAGTCCAAAGATGAGCAGGCTGAGTGGATTGACCATGCTAAATTGTCCATAGTGTCCAGGGATGCCTAGGTTAGATGGATTAGCCATGGGAAATGCAGGGTTACAGAGATAGGATAATGGGGTGAGTCTGGGTGGGATGCTCTTCAGAGATTCGGTGTGGACTTGTTGGGCCAAATGGCCTATTTCCACACTATAGGGATTCTATGATTCTATGCAAGGAAAAGAGTTTAAGTACATCGGCCACATATTGACAACAAAATACCTTTGCCCAGATTTTGTAAAGGCAACAGATATAGCAACAATGCAGCAAAGATGTAAATGCAGTGCAACAATTTGTTGGATTAATTAATTATTTGGCACAATTTGTCAATCCATTATGAAATATAACGCCAACTCAAAGCGACATATGTGCAGTGGTATGTGTGCACAGAATAAACGGCATTCCATAAATTATGAAGTCACCCCACAGTGTGACACAATGACAGGACTTGGAGCAACGCTTATGCAGCAAGATCAACCAGTTGCACTTGAATCTAGGGTGCTAGCCCAAATAGAAAGACCGTATGCCCAGATTGAGAAAGAGAACAGACAAATACAAAAACTCGGAGCAAGAATAGGCAATTCAGCCCTGAAGCCTGCTGTCATTTAATGTGATCATGGCTGATCTCATCTCAACCTCAACTTCATTTGCCTGCCTGCTCCCCATAACCCTTTAACCCATTACTGTTTAAAAATCTGTCCATCTCCTTCTCAAATTTATTCAGTGTCCACGGCGCCATGGGGTAGTGAATTCCAGAGATTCTCAATCCTTTGAGAGAAGTCATTTTGCCTCATTTCTGTTTGAAATCTCCCAGCCCATAGGCTAAAAACTATGACCTCCCATTCTAGATTTCCCGACAAGGGGAAACATTTGCTCCATGTCTGCCTTGTCAATCCCTTTTAGCATCTTGTATACCTCAAATAGATCCCCTCTCATTATTTTAAACTCTGAAGACCATAGGTCAAAGCTGCTCAATAGCCCTTCATAACAAAGCCTTTCATCTCTAGAATTAATCTAGTAAATCTCCTCTGAACTATTGCAACGCTATTATGTCCTTCTGCACGTAAAGGGTCAAAAACTGTATGCGGTGTTACGGATACAGTGTCTCCAATGCCTTGTACAGTTCCAACAAGACTTTGCTCCTTTTACACTCCATTCTTTCACTAATAAATGCCAAAGTTCTATTTGACCTCCTTATTACCCCTAATCCCGTGCAATGTTACCTTGTGTATTAAGCTTTTGTGCAGCCCCTTAGCAAATGCCCTCTGGAAGTTCAGGTATACTGCATCTACAAGATCCCCATTATCTCTGCTTGCTACATCTTTAAGAATTCTAGCAAATTAGTCAAACATGGTTCACCTTTCATGACTCTGATGGATTGTGCTCTGACTTTATCTTGTTACTATTGCCTTAATGGATTCCAACAATTTCCCAACAACAGGTATTAAACTAACTAGTCTACACTTTCCTGCCGTGTGCCTCCCTCCCTTTTTGAAAAAGAATGTGATATTGGCATTTTTCCAATCCACTGAAAACTTTTAGCATCCAGGGAATTTTGGAATATTATAATCAATGCAACTGCTAACTCTGCTACTGCTTCCATTAAGTTCCTAAAATTAGGCCATTAGGTCCTGGGAACTTGTCTGCATTTAATCTTAGTTTGCTCACTACTTCTTCCCTAGAGAGAGCAACTGTTTTAAGTTCCTGCTTTTCCACCACCTCTGTATTACCTATTATTGTTGGGATGGATTCAGTGTCCTCCACTCTAAAAACTGAGGTAAAATATTGATGTGGTGTCTCTGCCATTTTCAGTATTTCCATTAACAACTCCCTCGCCTCGTCTTCAGAGACCAATATTCTGTTTAGCTACTCACTTTTTAACATACTTAAAGATAGTTTAGCTATCTATTTTTATATTTTGCACTAGTTTTCTTTGATAATTTGCTCTTTTCATTCCTTCTTTAGTAACCCTTTATTGGTCTTTCAACGTTTCCGCTCCTCCAGTCTGCCAAATACCTTTGCAATGTAGTGTGCTTTTATTTTTGCCCGTATGTTATCTTTAGCTTTTCTGCTTGGCCATGGATGCTTTCCCCACTTTTACAACCTTTCTTCCCCTCTGGAATGTATTTTGGTTGGGAGGGATTGAACATCTCCTTAAATGTCTGCCCTTGTCATCAACTATTCTAACGTTTAGTCTTTCTGCCCAGTCCACTAGGGTCAAATCTGTCCTCATGCCTACATAGTTTCCTTTGTTTAACACCAGAACACTAGTATGGACCTCAGTTTATCGTCTTTAAACTGAAACTGAAATTTCAGCATGCTATGATTACTCTTCCCTGGTGAATCCTTTACTATGACATTAATTAATCTGATCTTATTACACAATACAAAGTCCAGAATAGCATGCTCCCAGGTTGGTTCCCCAAGATATTTCTCTAAAATACATCACTAATACACTCTATGAACACTCCCCCAAGGCTACGTTTGCCAATTTGGTTGACGAAGAAAGTATTATAGGATGCTATAATAGTGTGAAATCTTCCAGATTAAACATGAAATAACAGCTCTTCATACTCTGGAAATAGTCAAGCCAGCAAAGACATGGAATATAAAAGTCAAGTATCATGCTCAAATCAAACTATCCAACAAGAAATTGCTAACTGTTTCAACAAAAGGCATATAAGGATGGCTAGAGAATATCATGAACACACCTGTTGCTACAAATGCATGTTGGGCACATAGAAATAGAGTCATAGAGATCTACAGCACAGAGAGAGGCTCTTCAGGCCAATGATTCGTGCTACTCAAGCACAAGCACCTATCCATTCTAATCCCATTTTCCAGCATTTGCTCTATAGCCTTGGACGCCTCAGCATCACAAGTGTACATCTAATTATTTCTTAAGTGTTAAGGATTTTGGCTTCTATCACCTTCACAAGTACTAAGTTCTAGATTCCCACCATCCTTGGGTGAAAAAAAACCCTCATTCCTTCTATACCTCCTTCCTCTTACACCCCAACCTGGTCATAGATCGCTCCAAGAAGGCAAAAAAGTTTCTTGTATCTACACCTGTCATAATTTTATACATTTCAACCATGTTCCCTCCTCAGTGTTGTCTGCTCCAATGAAAAGAAATCAAGCCTATCCAACCATTCTTCATAATTAAAACTCTCCAGTCCAGGCAACATCCTGGTAAAAGTTCTCTGCACCCTCTCCAATGCTATCACATCCATTCTATAGTGCAGATTCCAGAACTACAAACAATATTCTGTCTGTGGCCTAACCAAATTTTTTTATACAGTCCCAGCATAGCCTCCTTTCTCTTAAACTCTATGCCTCAGCAAATAAAGGCAAGCATCAACATGCTTTCTGAACCAGTTTGTCTGCTTGTCCCTCTACCTTGAGGGACTTGTGGATATACACACTCAGGTTCTTCCGATCCTCGGTACTTCCAAAAGATCCTATTGTTCATCATCTATTCCTTTGCCTCGTTTGTCCTGCCCGAGTGCATCATCTCATTTTTATACAGATTGAAATCCATTTGCCACTGATCAGCCCACCCGACCAGCCTGTCTATGTTCTCATAGAAGACTATACTCGTCACTCATTGCCACTCCACCAACTGTCGTACCATCTATGAATCAACTGATCAACCCTCCTACATTCAAGTCTAAATCATTTTTAGATACCACAAAAAACAAGGGCCACAACATCCATCTCAGCAGAACTCCAATGAAAACAGGTTCCAGTCACAAAACACCCATTAACCATCACCCGTGCTTCCTGTCACTCAGCCAATCCTGGATCCAAAATTTACTTGGATCCCATGGGATCTTACCTTCACTGTCAGCATTCCACACAAGACCTCAAATCCTTGCTGAAGTCTCGGTAGACTGTCGAATGCATTGCCCTCATTTACAGACATGGTCACCTGTTCAAAAATGCAATTAAGTTGGTCAGGCATGACCACACTGATTGTTCTTGATTCATCTCTGCCTCTCCAAGTGCAGATTAATTCTGTCCCTCAGAATTGCTTCCAATAGTTGCCCCACCACTGAAGTTGGACTGACTGGGCTGTAGTTTCCCGATTTATTCCTTCCTCACTTCTTCTATAATGGTACCACACTGGCTGTCCTCGAGTCCTCTGTAGCCAGAAAGGAATTGAAAATGATTGCCAACACCCTGCCATTTCCTCCCTTGCTTCATGTACCAGTTTAGGATACATTTCATCAAGAGTTCAAATCAAGTCTGAAGAAGTCAAAAAATGTGCTCTACTGATCAAACATGAGCAATGAAAACAAGGACATCAGCCAGTGCAGTTCTTGTAATGAGTACCACACAATGTAAGCTGCTAATCACATCTGACATGTCATGGTGAATCTGGGAGTTAATCTCCTCACACTCGCAGGAATGGATTATCTTGTGACTACAGATGCCTATTCTGAACACTGGAAAGTGGATCAGGAGACACAGAACATAGAACAGTACTGCACAGTACAGGCCCTTCAGCCCACGATGTTGTGCCAAACTTTTACCATAATCCTAAGGTCTACCCAACCTCCACCCCTACCTTATACTATCATCTACATTAATGACGATTGTTGAGATTGTCAAATTACTGAAGAAAACAATTCAGCCGGTATGGCTTACCTGACATTGTCATCAGTGAAAATGACTATGAGTTCACAAGTGAAGAATTCAATTGATTCATGAAAGATCAAGAAATTTACTACCACATATCATCTCCACACTATCCCCAGCCAAATACAAAGACTGAGGTGATAGTAAACATTGCGAAAGGAATCATCGGGAAATCAAGCAAATCCTGCACAGATATATACAAGGTAATCCTCGAGCGATGAAGCACACCGTCGGAAGGCATGCAAAGTTCAGTACAAACACTAAATGTGCCACAGGGAAACTACACTTCTAATAGTAAAAAAGCTACTGAATAAGAAGTGGTAACAAGTGTGAGCGAAAAAAAAATCAAGGCAAAATGGCAGTATTCCCAGAGTATCATCATTGCCAGAGTTGATTAGTGGAGTGCTAGTCAGGGCACAAAGTTCAACAATCTTATCAAAATCTAGCCCAAGTGGCAATTTAAAACTTGCGAGAAGCATATGTCATCTCAATTGAATACAGTTAAAGTAAATGACCAGATATACCATTGCAACTAAAGGGACATATGTCCAACTGCAGAGATGAAGGGTTTGTCTTATGCAGATAGATTGAACAGTTTAGGCCTATAATCTCTGGAGTTTAGAAGAATACAAGGAGATCTAAGTGAAGTAGAAAAACTGCTAAATGGGATTTACAAAGTAAAAGTAGAAAAGATGTTTCCTCATGGTGAAATCTAGAAATACAGGACACACTTTTAAGGTAAGGAATAGCAGATTTAGAGATGGAGAAATAATTTCTCTTCAAAAAAGGTGAATCTGTGGAATTCACTACCCCAGAGTATGGTGGATGCTGGGACATTGAGAAAATTTAAAGGAAGATAGACAGATTTTTAATTAGTAATGGGTTGAAGAGTTTATGGAGAGTGAGCAGGAAAGAGCAGCTGAGGCCATGATTAGATCAGCCATGATCATATTAAATTGCGAAGCAGGCTCGAGGGGCTGAATTGCCAACTGGCTATCACATTCTTATGATCTTAACTGCATGCTCTGGTCAGAAAGAAGCACATGCGCCACCTATACAGAGAACATGCATCAACATTAAACGCAGAGCTCTACAGCAATCCAAAAAAAAAAGAACAATGGATATCAAAACAACAACAAATAACACAGGAACAACATTCCTTGTTGAAACATCACCCGGGAGAATAGCCAATAACATCAATACGCATGCATACCATTAAGACAGCAGTAGCACAGTTTATGGACTATATGTACAATGCAAATACAGACACTAACAGAACTAACAAACTGCTAAAACAGGAGAACAGTTGTGCATATAGATGATAATTTGGGCAACTGAAAATGCGTATGATAATGCATGCTTTTTTTAAAAATGCTAAATATTTGTATTGAAATGCAATCAATATAAATTTTTGCTCTAGCATGCCACTGTCATGTAATCTCTACCACAAGGTGCACATCCTGCAGGCAGACATAGAAACTAGAAGCAGGAGTAGGCTATATGGCCAATTGAGTCTTTTATCAGCCTCCACCATTCATTATGATCATGTCTGATCCCCTATCTCAACGCTATATTCACACTTTTGCTCCATATCCCTTATGATTTCCATATTTAAAAATTAACAATTCTCTTTCTTAAATAAATGTACTCAGTGACCCATCTCCACACATTTGTGTGGTAGAGAATTCAACAAATCGAGCAACCTCTGAAGAATTGCTTTCTCATCTCAGTTCTAAACAGCCTAAACCATACCTTGAGATTGTACTGTTCTTGACTCTCCATCCAGGGGAGACATTTGCCCTGCATCTAGTCTATCCAGGCCCATTAGAATTTTTGATGTTTCAATCAGATCCTCTCTCAATCTTCTAAATTCGAGTTAAAACAGGCCCAGTCAAACCTCTCTGTCTTCATACAACAGTCACGATGTAAGCAACACTCTTCCTTTCTGGTTTTCCTACCAAAGTGTATACCTTCATATTTATCCACATAATACTGCATTTGCCACATGTTTGCCCACACATCCAACTTATCTAGATTGCCCCAAAGCCTCCTTGCATACTCCTCACAACTCTGAATCATACCAAGTTTTGTGTCATCAGCAAACTTGGAAATATACAGCAACTGGTTGCCTCATCTAAGTCTATATATAGTCACCATCTGCCACCCAGGAAGAGACTTATTGTCTGCTTGCAGTCTGTCAATCCAGGAAAGCATGCTACCCTCAATCCTGTCTGCTTTACTTTTGACCATGAGCCTCTTACGTGGGACCTCATCAAAAGCTTCCTTGATATTCAAATGTACCACATCTATATCTTAAGCTTCATTCCAACAAAACCCTCATGTTGAACGCACTGCTGTGTCATACATTCAAAACTGTCTCTGACACTAACCTCAGTGAACTGAGTATTGCTTCACTATTAATTTCTAGTATCATAGAATAGAATCATAGAATCCCTATAGTGTGGAAACAGGCCCACCCCGCTATAACCCACCTAATCTACACATCCCTGAACACTACGGGCAATTTAGCGTGGCCAATCCACCTAGTATGCACATCTTTGGACTGCGAGAGGAAACCGGAGCACCCGGAGGAAACCCACGCAGACACGGGGAGAATGTGCAAACTCCACACAGACAGTCGCCCGAGGGTGGAATCGAACCCGGGTCCCTGGCGCTGTGAGGCAGCAGTGCTAACCACTGAACCACCGTGCCGCCCCAGTATAGGCAGGGATCAAACAGCAGAGCAAACCCCATGGGGCAAACAAGCTTTTAACTGAACCTAAATGAACCAATTATAAAGAAATACCATGTAAAAGGCCTAAAGTAAATAACCAAAATAGTTCAATATTTTATTGCATAATTATACTCAGTGCTCAATTCACCTGATTGGGGGATCAAATTAAAATTAAAAAGCAATGGATAGTTGAATTAAATTGTCCTGAATTTTCACCAAACTAAAATCTAAGATATACAGTAAAAACATTTAATTTTACTCTTCATAAAATCAAGTTACTTGAATGATGAATAATCGTATAATAGAGACATGGCAGGACATCTTGGTCCCATGGAATGCATATCCTATTCCATGTGGGAACTTCACAATGAGTCTTGCATCCTGGACAATCACATGCAGAATGTTTATTCAGCAAAAGCTAGTTCAAATACAAGTTTTGGAACCTGAACAACAGCTGGCATCATTGCAGTGAATCTGACAGTTTTAAACATGATGTTTCTGGTGATTTCACCCCATAACTTGGGGTGTACAGGAAAAAGTTAATGGGTGTCTACCAGACAATCAAGGAGGACCCAAAAGGGAAAGCAAGAATCCCTTGTTTGTACCTTTGAATCATGTGCGTTGGGCAGTTCCTGGGGAGATGGGTGTGCACAGCCAGCATGTGAACAAAACCAAGACCATCATCCTTGTGGTTCAATCAGCAGGGCTCACAGCATCTACAACTAACCTGTTGAGTTCTTCTAGCACACACTATTTTTATTTCAAATTACCAGTATCCACAGTATTTTTCATGGTGGGGTCAGAGTAAGGTGGAGTGCAATAAGGTCTAAAGAATTTACTCTGCAAGTAAATGAAGGCACATGATAATTAACATCAAAAAACTCCAAGGACAGATGGCCATATGGGAATGTGATTTTAAAAACATCTGTTGCAAAGATAGGCAAAGAAAGTCAGGAGGAGAGGTGCCAAACTAATTAAAGTGAATAAAGATAAAGTCACCATAGTCCTACCAGACCAAAGGCTGCTCTCTCATTTAAGACAAACAACTGAGCTAACTGACCCCAAAAATTAAGTACAATATGAAAA